ACCTTCAGAGGCTCTAAGTAGGGAGCAGCAAACACAGTGACATAGTCTTGGAAAGATCAATTTCTCTGGGTTTTGTTTTCATCTGAAAAATGCTCTCTGTGAATGGGAGTTAAAGTGTTACACTAACTGATTTTCTCTTATTTTTAGATAAAAATATATACCTATCATTGAATATTTCAAACAGGTAGTAAAGTACACAAAATATAACAGACACCTATGACATCGTAATTATCATCATCAAGTTAGAAAGAAATTAATATATTGCTTAATTTGTAGTTCTCTTTCTTTGGAAAAAAAAAAAAAAGATAAAGCAGAATCTCCACATCCCCTTTCTTCCTATTTCTTTCCTCTCTAGAAGTATTGACTATCTCAAGGTTACTGATTACCCTGCGTTAACCACGTTATTATTTATCTCCAACAACTATGTAACACTGCTCAGTGTGTGTTTAAATATACATAAATTGCACTATATGCATATATCTGTATATTTTTTCATACAACGTTGTTTTGTGAGATTTATCCATTTTGATATCTATGTAGGGTGTCTGTGTATTTAATTAATTTTAAACTCCTTCATAATGTTTCATTATGAATAAACCAGTTTATTGACATATCTATGAACAGTAAGGGTATTTACACTCATTTTTAAAAACAGGGATGCAATAAACACATTTTTTCCAGGTCTCCCTTATCCATACTTAGTATTATGAGAATTTATTCATTTTTGCCAGTATGAGGATTAAGTAGGGATTAATAGTTATTCTCAGATGATATTTTCCTAAGGTCCCTACTGGTCATGTAATTGTGGTAACCCATCAATGCCAAGTCTTATCAAAATAACAAAATAAATATATGTAAAAACCTTCCACAGCTTACAATGAATTTACTTTTCCTCAAGAAATGTCTTACATGCTTAAACCTGGCCATGAATGCATACATCAGTCCATAAAAGAGGAATGGGGACAAGGCCCCAGCTCTGTATTTATTTTCTTGTATTCATAATCCAATGTTACTCGCAAAGAAAACTGCCCAAATATTCAAGCCAAAGCAAATACTCTGGATTTTGCCAGGCAAAATGCCTGTGGAGAAATGAGTCAATTCATACAAAATTCAAAACTGTCTTTGGTCAGGGACATTTTCATGAAAATCTGTGGGTGGGTAAAAGTTTTACAAAATTCCTTTTTGCTATTGGATACAATCCATCCAGGAAAAATAAGTAAAACTTAAGTGGCAAACCACATTCCCCCTAGTTCCCTTATTAACACTCCCTAACCACCCAACACAACTCCATTCAATTGTGCTCCAAAGCATGTTATCGGTGGTTCCGATTCTGGCAACGGAACTCTGTTGCTCTGTCTGCTCCATCCCAGTCAGACTTTCTCATGCACTTACAGAGCATGCCCAAGCTCATTCACAACACACCTTACTTGAACACTGCCCAGGCTTTGCACACTCTTCAACTTAATGGCAAAAAGACCGATGGTGCAAACATTCTCAGTGTGCGCTCTGTTGGAACCATTACTATGGATACTATTAGGAATATTTAGTGTACTTCGACGGTTTTGAGTTACACTTCATGTTGTCCTTTTAGGAACATGAGACAAGGGTTTGGGAAAGAGACAAAAATTCAGAGACTCCATGACTTGTTCTAACTTAAGAATCTGGATATTTACCTCAGAAAAACTTCATAGAATTCCCCACTTAAACTCAGGGATGCTCAAAGGTTTTGATAATTCCAAGGTTTACTAATAAGACTGGGGTTGGTCAAAGCTCAAGGTCAAAATAGAATGATTTGGTCCATAGAAATTGCTTTAGTTAATAGACAGCAGTGAATGGACTTGGATATTTTTAATAGGATAGTGCCATATTCCTGACTCCTGGTTTTTGATCTAGCTGAGTCTGCTTGTCTGCCTGCTGAGGGCTTGACTTCTCAAGACCTTTGCCACTGGCTGGGAATGTCTGCAAGATCGAGGCCAGGCGGGGAAAGAGCACAGCTGTTGGACTTTCCACTGAAGCTTTAAGAATGAGATTTACAGAAGGGTGAAGTCGTTTGGGTGGGAAAGAAAAAGAACTCATTCTCTTCTTCCAGTAAGTTAACCAAATAATAAATTAACATCCCTTCCCCAGTTCTGCCACCTAGAATCCCAAGTGATCTAAAGCCCTGGATTCTGGGTAAGGCTGGGAGTCACAGTCAGAGACTCTGAGAATGCATTCTCTCATGCATGAAACAGAATTTGGCAGGAGGGAGGACAGCAGTGGCAGCCTCTTACTGTAAGCAAGCTGTCACAGACAGCCCTCTCACACACCCCTCTTTTACCATGACTTCCAGAAGCTCTTTGTGCTGCTTGTAGTTATGGTCACCAAACACAGTGGGGTCATCATTTCTTTCTTAGGTCAATAAGCTAAGCTAGTAAAAATGATGACTAACCCTATCATACGCAGAAAATTACCAGCAATTAAACACACGTAAAACAAAAAGTGGCCTGGCTCTTATCACTTCGACTGCTGCTAACCCTTGCAGCATGTAACAGAGCCACAAAAAAACCCAAAGATCACTTCCCATCTCTAAAAGAAGAACGTGGCCATGTTACTTGGCAAGCATCTTAACCTTTGAATCAACTATCATCAGATTTTAAAATGGGGGAAGATGAAACATCTTAGCTGTAACAGTTCTCTATGTCTGGATTCCAAGAGTGTGAAGATTGGTTTTGCAAAAAGCAGAAAAATGCATTTTTCCCAGGATGCATCCACTCTAACAACATTGTCTTCTATCATTGTACTACAGCTTATGGGGACTGTTAAACTTGCACAGCAAAATCCATCCCTGCCCATATAGCCCTCCAAATGGAGCAACAGAACAGTTTTCAGAAGACACAGTGCCCACAATATGTCCATTTTATAAGAAAATGGGTACCTTGCAGCTAAAAATATACAGTCTCAGAAGTACAATCCCAGCATCAATCAGCTTCTAAGAACACTGCTGTAAATAAATGTTTGCACTATAACATGGGTAAGTAAATGCTTTGTGGTCCTAGATTTCATATGCTATTAAATTAGAAATCTGAATTTTATAAAGACTCCAGCTAGAAGTGGGGAGTGGGAAGACTAGCAGAGAGAAATCACCTCCCATACTCATGGCGAACAATACAAGGAGAAGCTATTCAGAGGCGTGCAAACATTCGCCTTTTAGGTTATTCTTTCACTGAACTATTTCTATTTTTAAAATTCGTCATGCACTTTAGCAAAAGTCAACTTCATAAACTTATATGTCTTTGCAAAGTCTGGGAACAGGAGAAAATGGGGAAATCCTATTGCAAAAAAAATTAATTTTGCAATGCAAAAAGTATTTTTCTGGATAATTCAAGCCTTTCTGTTTGTTTCAGTAAAGCCAAATCCAGTAAACTATTTTCAGCCAGGATTAGTCAGAAGTAAAAGGTTGGACTGTTTTCCTTCAGAGACTGAATGTCTTTCCTGCCTGCAATAGGCCCCAGTGTCCCAAACAGAGTAAATGGAATTGCCTTCAATTGCCTGTCTCTTTCTGGCATTTTTAATGCAGAGCCCTAGTGACAGAGTAAGGTTTTGCTGCCTGGAATGTAATTATTTTTTTCACTCATAGAAGCTGGCAGTCTCATTCTCACAGTGTATCAGCTTCAGGGTTTCCTTAAGAAAAATCACAATATGGAGCATAAAGTAACGACAAGAAATGCAATTCCATTCCACCAGAATTTCTTCAAACTCTTTCAAAAATACCTACCGAGCAGTGCAAAAGCATTTCTAATACTTGCAGTAGTGCTATCACCTGTTTGGTTTGCTTTTCCACAAGGCAGACCACTTGGCCAGTCTACACTCAAACATAAATGTGGTCCAGATTCTTTATCATCATGACCTACGATAGAAAGAAGGGACTCTGGCTGGGGGACATTAGTCCAAATGAGTTTCTTTTAAAATGGATTTATGTATTTCACATATTCAGTGACCTACACCATACTCAACATTCAGGGAATACACAGAAATCTCAGATTTTAACTCCAAAAGAAATATCCTTGTCCATCTAGACTAATAGAAAACATATGTGCCTCCTTTTCCAAGACTTAAGTGAGCTGTCTGAGATTGTGCAAAGCCATCCTGGGATCCCCAGGGTGATGCCCTGATTTTAAACCCTGAGGGTTCCTGTGAGGTGTGAAATTGTTGTGAAATCATTTAAGAATCATATTATTCAAAACTAGTAAATCTTGCCAAGAAACAGGGAGAGTTCCAGGATGGATGTTCTGAAAGAGGGAGGCAGGGGAGTAAGAGCTACCAGGCCCACTTCACACAATACCAGAGGTAGATCCCCTTGTCCGCTTTCTCCTTGTACCTTGCCACGAAATTCCCTCGTTAAAATTAGGTGAAATCCTGTGAGGTTCTGCTTCTGTGGTATCCCTTGGGTGTTTTTAATGCAGGCTATAAATCACTGGTCTCCCAACCCTGGAAGGTACAGCTGCAGGCATGTGGGTGCACACAGCAACGTTTACTAGCCAAGTTGCTAAGTAGTGAGTTCCTTTCCAAATATCAGAGCCTCCCCCTCCACCCCAATTCTTGCCCAGTTATTGGAGGGAAGGGGGAAAAAAATGACTGAATGTTTGTTTTGGAAAAGACCTGCAGCTTGCTGGTGGTGCGCCGTGTCCCTCTGCTCTTGTATGTCCACCCACATGAAGGAAACTTAACGTTTGTGCCTGGCTGGCATCTCTTTGCCAAGATTTTAGACAGAAGGGCAGACTGACCTCCCCTGCTGGGATAGCCGATGTCCCTTCGCAGAAGAGAATCTAGAAATAGAGACCACTCATCATTAAGGAAATCATCCCCGCCTCGAGCTGAAGAGGAGTCCCATCTCTCGGATACCTAGACCACCACACCAGAAGAAAACGTCCCCTGACCCACCGGCAGAGTTTGGAAAGACACACACGTGAAAAGCCAGCCGGGCCTTCCAGCGAGGGCAGCCGCTGGGCTTCAGGACTCACCGTACACTTGTTGGGCTTCTCCCCGGAGTGGACTCTCATGTGGATCAGCAGTTTGTACCGGGCGTTGAAGGGCTTGTACCTCCGAGGACACCCGGCCCAGAAGCAGGTGAAGTCTTCCCCTTTGCGCTGGTCTATGTGGACCTTCTCGATGTGCCGCACCAGCTCCTCCTGCTGGTCGTACAAGGCGCTGCAGTCAATCCAGCGGCAGCAGTGCTTGCCCCCGACGTCGTCCATGTCCCCGTCGTCGTCCAGGGCAGCTTGGGGCAGGGACAGCGACTGGCCGTGTGGCACCAGCTCTGGGTGATGAAGGTGAGGGTGGGCGTGGTAGGGTGGCGGGGGGCCCTGGGGTGGCGGCAGGGGCGGGAGGGCAGGCGCAGGGGCCAGGTCCAGGGCTCCGCCGGTGAACTCATCCAGGCGCTCGGTCTTGAGCAGGCCGGCCGAGTGGCCGTCGGGGCCTGGCAGGCCGTGCTGCACCACCATGTTATTGACCTGGCCATGCTGCAGGCCACCGTGCTCCAGCTGCTGCATGCGCCCGTACTCCAGCGTGCCACCCTCGCTGTACACCGGCAGCGCCAGGCCGCCGCTGGCCACCAGCACGCTCTTCTGGCCGCTGGGCACCGGGCACGGCTGGGGAATGCAACTGCCTCGCACCCCCAGGAAATGCCCGTAGACCTCTGGCTGCGGGGACATGTTGGCTGGGGAAGCCCTGGACCCATTGATGTAGGCCACCAAGGAGGTGGGTGATGTGCGGATTATGGTATTGAAGTCTATCCCGATGCCATCAGACAGTGGTGACAGCGACAGTGCTCTCTTCTTAGAGCGGGCCGAGTGAGACCTGGTGGATGAGTTCCGAGGACTAGAGTAGGGAGAGTGGCTATTTTCCATGCCAAAAAGGTAGGATGGCAATGAGTTAGAGACGCTGTTGCTGGACATAGGTGTCCCGGGAGGAAGGCTAAGGAGGTCCCCTAGATCAATGCCATTCTGAGAGCCATGGCTGGGGGACAGCGAAGGAAGAGCCCTGTAGCCGTGAGACCACTCTTGTTTCACACTCAAGGCCGACTGACTCTCCGTCAGGCTCAAAGTTGTGGATGCCAAAGACTCGCGCGAAATCAGGGACCTAGAACAGCAGCCAGAAAGGAAGAAAAAAAAATAAACATTTTAACAGGATATGGATTGCTTAAGAGCTAAAAGAACATTGCATTGACAATCCCTTAAGTATTTCCCCTAATTACATTCTCTGCTAAACACACATTCTTGGGCTAAGATAAAATCCAAGGCTTTTAGTTCCAGGTAAATAACATTTTACTAAGAAGAACAATAAAACCTAATGCTCACTGAAATAATATAACAAAAGATCTATTGTTATAAATAATCCTAATACTTTAATACCAAGTAGTCCTCGCTTTATTTTTAAATATATATTTTTTAATGTGGGGAAAATTATGGATATTTGTCAGGGCAAACCAAAGACATAAGTGTTAAGTACCTACTGTGTGCAGCATGCTACCATAGGATTTACATAGAACACAAGTCTAAACAGAGTCTTAGCCTTCAAGTAAAATCTGTTTGGGAAGGTAACATATAAACTCATTTATATGTATGTGTTTCATTTTAAAAAAAGTAAATCCTCAAAGTCAAAGGGTAATCCAAGGGACCATTTAATAATTTCACAATTTAGCTTCAGTGATATTAAGGAATTATTTCGATTTTTTTTAAAGGTAGCAATTCACGCTTTCAGAATTCAGTCATAACATCAAATCATCCCAGGAAATAAGAAACCATATACCAAATACAAGTATGATATATAAGGTAGTAAAGCTGATGAGAAGCATATTATCAAGTCATTTAGGCATTGGGGCCATGCAGGGTTTAATCATACTTGCTACTCTGTTTTTTTTAGCAGCTCTTATCCTTCTATCAGTGCAATTGCAGGCCGAAATCAGGTTGTTCTTTTTCAGTATTTCACTTTTGCAGCAATTTCTCTCCGGTTCTTCTTAAACTCTTTCTAAAACATGCCCTATGTCTCACAGATATACAGTGATTATCTATGTATCAAAATGGTTCATCATGTAGCTCTGGCCACTCTAAAAGTCATTTTGGTTTACTATGACATTGTTGCCTTCAAATAACTGAGGAGAACATTTATGTCCCTTGTATGGAAAATTTGTCACAAAGGCAAGACATAGCATCATAATCCCCCACTCAATCATGGCGTCTATCAGAAAAACTGCGTTTATTTATATGTACCTGCATTGGCTTTCTGCTGAGATCTTTTTTCTAACAACAAGTTAATCACAAAGAAATGTTATAATAGAATGTGAGTCTTCGCAACAGGAACACATTAACTATTTTCAGCTGTTCAAACAACAACCTGCTATAAAGGAACAGAGGGAAAAGAAGCATTTTCATCCCACCTGTTCCTCTTACTGCATTTCACAAAACGGAAGCCACAAACACCATTTCCTTCAAGCATGTGATATTAGCAAGAAAACATGTCAGCTCTGAAATGCACAGTATGATTAGGCGGTAGTAACATCACGACGGACATGATGCTACCATTGAGTGAACTGACGTTTACCAATGACAAACACAGCAGGAATTTACATCCACTTGCCCTCGACATAGATTTTTTTTCTTGGTATGCATCCTTATATTCAAGCTGAAGTCCTTTGGCAAGCCCCACAGCGGTTTGGGAACCATCTGTTTTTTTAATTCCCCACGGACACTTTTCAATTATTTTCCCAGCACACTTGCACTGTGTGGCTCTTCCCACAGAGCTCAGCTGAAGACTCCTGGTGATTGGCTGTCAAGGGCCTTTTGGTCCTTTACCCCTGCAAGATCCAGGAATTGCTTTTAGACCCAAACTAAGTCCGTAGTCACACCATATATGAGACAACTGACTTTGCTTTACACCCTGAGGTTGAGAAACAGAACAGAAAGAACCAGAGCTTTCCCAGAGCTGTGTGGCTGAGTAATGCCCATTCTCAGGTGGTATGTTTGCCTGTCAGTCACCCTGGAACATTTCAGATTGTAAAGCAGTTGACTAACAGAAATTATTTTATCCACCTGCATATATTTTGCATATAAAATTATCTTATTTGCTTTGAGGGCAGTTCTATAAGCAACATATGCTCATTTGTCCCATTGTTGAAAGATGATTCTCATTTCTCTCAAATGGTCCCTAAGCATGGCTCAATTTAAACCCGATCAGAACCCTATGCAGGCATTTTCTGTAATTCTGTGGACATCTCGGTTTTCTAAGACAGTTATCATATATTTTTCAGAAAGGAAATTCTATCTTCTATTCATGAAAACAATAATATGAACAGAGAACTCTCCCTTCTATCTCTAAATACCTGATAAGATTAAAATTTCCAAAAATGGCCTTTGCCTAGCAGCCAGCCTCCCTCCTGAGCAATTACCCAGATCTTTTAGTGTTTTAAAGTTATAATCCATGAAGTCTCCCCCCAGTACCCTAGCTCTCAGAGTTCTCTTTGCAAAGAACTTATATACTGTCTGCATCATGTCTGAAAGGTAGCTAACTTCAGGCATCCATGGGTGTTACATTCTTCAATAAAATTCAAAGAATTTTAACAGAAGGGAGCATTTTCATCTCCCTAATACCTACTAGAATTTCAGATACATACCAAGTATTCAAAAAATGTTGATTAATGAAGTGAATAAATAATCAATATAATGATAACTAAACATTATATATAGCTTATGAAGCATTTTCCCTACATATTATCTCATTTGATACAGCCTGCCAGATAAGTAAACTGAATTTCTTTCATAATTTCTATTTTAAAAAGATTTAAAACTGAAGTTCTGTGAAAGTCCTCCTAGTCTCGCTCTCTCTCTCTGTCTCTCTGTCTCTCTCTCGCACACCTCCCCCCCCGCAAAGTCCTTACAGAAATACAAATGAAGCTGTATTTGACAGACAGTGCCCTAACTGGATCACATACATTCTCTATTATTTTCATGCTTAAAGTTCACACAAGCTGGAACCCACATTTTCTGTTCTTACCATAACAGTATGTGAAATGAGTGTGAAGTATTCTAGGGGATTCTCACATGCAACACTTGTGCTACATACACCAGTCCCATGGGAAAGAAAGTGACAAAGAGCTGTATCACCATATGAGAGCAATCTCCATTTCCATGAGGACATCTGAGCCTAAGGATATTATTTCTGGAGACTGGTTAGTTGGGAGATAGATGTAAAAGGAAAGGGCATATATCTCACACGAAATAAGCCAACCAATATGAAAAACTCAGACATCAGCAGCAAAGAAGATTGGAGTGGTGCTAAAGCAAGATCTCAGTAACTTTCATGGGGCCCTAAGAGGCAAGATGACCAAGTTGGAGTGCTGGATGCAATGCAAAGCCCACAAGATGTTCTAACTGCACAGAGCACATGGAATTCCTCAAACTAATGCTTAAGAGAAAATATATATATACACACATATATATCTTGCATATATACCTAGATCATGGAAAAGACACCAGTCCCAGTCTATCTGGAAGTTCTTATCTGCATGCCCTGACAAATACCCCAAGACAGTCAGCACTGCATCTGCAGACAGAATGGTCTTATAAAATGTCAGCATTTACAGAGAGCCCCCCACCCATCCTCAGAATCCTTAGTCTTTTCCAACCACTGTGGATATTACAAACCAAAAGGAAATCACTCCAAGAATTTCTGGTTTTAGAAATAAAAAGATAAATGTAGTGCCTTTTGGAATGGTGTTATTAGGTGATAGCTGAAGTTTGTGACTAACAAGCTAAGTGACACTGAGCAAAGCCCTTAGACTTTCTGTGTCTTGGGTTCACTATGTCTTAAACAGGAATAATAATTGCAGGTAGTTTATAAATATTCAATTGCAAAATGCAGAATTGCAATGTATATAAAAGCACTAGAAAAGCTAAATCTATATTAAACGCATCCAGTCTCTTCTATTGCTCAACCTTTGCTAGACTTGGTATATGAAATTACTATATGAGATTCTCCCATTAGCATCTCAGCCTTGTCATTTATGGGGAAATACTGTATACACAATGCTCTCTGTATTGCAAAGTCTTGGCAATGCCTAAATCAAGATGGAAGATGGTAAGGGTACATTGTATTCATCATAGTGGGGTTAGTTAGAAATGGTTGGGAAATTAATCAAGGCATTAGGGCATAATTCTCATCATTGGATAAAGAGAACCCAACAAAGCTAAGGAAAAAAGTGCTTTATCCAAGATGAGCACCCCGTAAAAAAATTCCCAAAGGAGATCCAAAGAAAAACCTATAAGCACATTCAATGTATCTAGGAAAACTATGCAATATTATCAATAATTGAGAAATACAAAGTAAGACAAAATAACATTTTGCATATCAGATTGGTCAAAGTTATAAAAATAATAATACGCAGTGATAGATAAGGTCTGAGAAAACAAGCACTCTTGTAGAGTGTTGGTGAGTTTACAAAAACTGGCAGGGCTTTTCTGCAGTAAAATATGTAGAAAATATGTAGAAAAAGCCTCAAATTGGAGCGGTGCCTGTGTCTCAAAGGAGTAGGGCGCTGGCCCCAGCAGAGGTGGAGGTTTCAAACACAACCCCAGCCAAAAACTGCAAAAAAGAAAAAAAAAGCCTCAAAATTGTACATTTCTTTTAACCTCACAAATTTTACTTATAAGAATGTATTCTAATAATCAGAGTTATGCAACAACAAATTTATAGGATTGATCAAAAAATTATTTATAATACTGAAATAAAGGGAAACAACTAAGAGTTCAGTAGTAAAAGGCTGATTTTAAAAACTATGGTTTTATTAATGTACTTTCTTTGTACAATGCAATCTTGGACAGGAGGAAGGCATTACATAATGAGTGCCAGAGAAGATTTTGATTATAAAAGTTTGTCATATATTACCTGGAAAAAAATGTTGTTATAAAGCTATGTCTATTAGTAGATCAATTTAGTGGAAAGGAAAGCCTGCATCGATGACATATGATATATGCATTTGCATTTAACTAGAAACATGTATATCAAAATAACACCCACAGTTATCTGTAGGAGCTAGAATTCAGGATGACTATCATTTACTGCCTGGTGCTTTTCATATAGTATTATCCACATTTGCACAATGAATAAGAATTACATAATCAGGAGAAAAACCAATAAATTTTATAGCTTTTCATGGAGCCAGAATCTCTCAGACCGAACAGTTCATACGCCCTCCCCCACCCCCTCCACCCCCAAATACCCCAATATGGAAAGCACTCAGCTAATGATTTTCTCTCCATCTTCTCTTTATCTCTAAATAGTGAAACGTCTTTACATTAAACTTTTGCCTCTTATTCTTTCTCTCCTCCAATGAAACATAAAAAATCAATTTAAGGATCACAAGTAAATGTGACCCTTCCAAATTGTTAAAAGTAGGTTTCATACTTCACCAGGCCACTTTCCCAATTCCTATTTCTTTGCTCATCCTGAAAAAAAAAAAAAGTTCCACAGAACTCACAGAATACATAGTCAAAAACACTTGTCAGTGCATTGTTAAGGTGTTGTCTTTTAAGAATATAAAATTATGCTAAGGAATCAAATATGCCAGAAAACACTGAGATAATGACTCCTCTCTGGCCAACCCATGAAAGGGATCGCGTGAGGTACATGGCTCGAGCAGTGTGCCCTGCCTACTATCAATTTCTCCGTTAATTATGACTTCTGCCTTCAAGGCATAGGCTGGACTTGCCACAGACAGGAAACTGAAGGCTTCCCAATGACACCCACCCCAGGAGTACAGTTAATTTTACATGCAGCACTCAGCAAGTCTGAGGAGTCCCTTAAGGCATAATCATCAATGGGAAAATGACAGCAGCCTCCCATCACAAAAAGTCCCAGGTGAAAAACAAGTTTCTCCCTCCTGAAAAAATTGGCATAAATAAATGATTCAGGAACTCTGATTTCCGAGTCTCAAATAGCAGCTAGGAGGACAGCGGAGAGATACAAGCAGGGGAAAGAGGATGGGAGGAAAAGGAGGAAGAAGGAAAGGCAGAAGAAACAGTATCCCAGAACTGCAAGGCACGGTGGCACGTCACAGCCCCACAGAAGAGGCAGTGGAGGCGCGGGCGCAATTCCTTTGCAAGATCACAGTCCCAGCAGAATCCAGACCAAGAGATGGAAACTTTCGATTGAGTTTTGTCAAGAAGATAATGTCTACAAAATAAAATAATTTATTTCAAACATAGAAATATTAAACATTACTTGGTAAGTTGGCTTTATGCCCCTTCCAATCTAATAACTTAGAGAGGGAGAAAAATTTATCTGAAGGACGATTTCCCTTTTCTGTTCCACTTTCTCCCGTGGAGACACAAACATGGCATTTACGGCACCCACTTATCCCGGCACCTCATCAGATACTGTGTTGAAATGTTACATAACACATACATGAAAGTATGTCTTCCTAAACACAGCGTAAAGTCTTGAAATTGATGATTCCCACCTAAACTTTGACCATTATATTATGCAGACAGTAGGTACTTAATAAATACGTGGGTGGATGGGTGGATGGACAGATCGGCAAAGTAGATTATAGAGCAGCCGGGAAACTCTGCAACATACACATGGGAAAGCAGGTAAGACGTGTATACCACATAGAATATCTGAATTTGCAAGGCCACGATATGACCTACTTCACCAAAAATTGACTGATTTACACACTTGGGCTTCTTCCTCTTTGAGGCCCCAAAACCTCACAGTGGACATTGATTTCGCTCACACCATAGATAGCAGGTATTAAACCATTCCTCCCGATTAAAAGGATATGGCACATACTTAGTTGTTAGATACATTCCCCTACAAAGCTAAAACTGAAAGAGTTGCACGAGCATGTGCGTGTGTGTATGTGTGTGCACAGGTGTGTGTGTTCAGGAAAAAAAGGAAAACACTCATGGGTATGATTATACCATAAAGAAGGGGGGGAAAAAAAAGTTAACTTGAGACCTGGTATCTGAAGGAGGTATATTCAGGTTGGCTGCATTCACTGCCCTCTGTAAGCTAGGACTGATCTGGTTGCATGCTGTAGAGACCTGGCTTGCTGGAGGTGAAATGGGTCCCAGTCGCTGAACCATCATGGGACTGCTGGTGACCACTAGATTGTTGCAGCTGCCTTTTCCAATGGACTTGCACTGAGGCCCAAAGCCAAGAGCCCCTAAAAACAAATGAATCAGGTTAGCTTTCATGTCCCTTACATCACAAATCAGTAAATACAGACATGTGCACACTTATATCAGGACCCATCTTTAGAGACTGTCCTCAGATCATCTCTTTATTTTGTTTGGTTCTGGTGCTATGAAAAAACTCTAGTTCCAATGAGAAAGCCATAATACTACAACAGAAATCCTTCCGCAATCATCGCTCACACAAAATGTGCCTAAATTATACTCCTTCTATGTAGAAGTGTGCAGTTCTATTAAAAATTATACTTTATATCTTTACTTAAAAGGCTAAGGTAGCAAGTAGATGGGATTACCCGTATCATACCCAGATGTTTCTTTTTTCCTAGAATAACTGATAACTTGAATCACCCGGCAAGGAAAGGTGACACTGATGGAAAAAAAATCTGTTGAACTGGTTTATTTCATTCTGAATCTGGACTTCCAAAAAGCCTCTTTAAAAGGACATCGTTTGGCTGTGTCTCCGTACTCTTGACTTTTCCTCTTCATCCCAACACATTATCTTTGGATATATATATACCCAATTTTCTCAAAGATCAGGTTGAGAGAGTCGTAAACAAAATACTCATTTGAAAAATAGCATAGCAACAACATTAGACATAGATTTTACGTTCTCACTAGTCACAGTCTTCCAATGCAGTAAAATTTGGTACCTACCCAAACAGGAAGGGGAAAAAAAGGAACCCAGAAGAATCTGTGTCCTTACGGAGAAGAGAAAAGCAAAGAGTTTGAGAAAGGCAAGTGCTGCCATGACTCATTTATAAAAAATAAGAAGAGCTGACTCATTCTAGACATTCTTTTACATGGATGTACTTTTTCAAACATTTTTTGCTAACTACCTGGTCAACTCTCAGTAATTGTACGCTCTGTTCTCACTTCGAGCAAACAAAAATAAATATGATCTCAGTTTTTTAACAAATTAGGCTTTACAATTTTCTCACCAAATTTCTCATCTTTTTCATTGATATATTTGGAATCAAAGTAGGAGGAAAAGTGTCACTGTAACTTTCCTTCGCCCCAGGGGGCATTACTTCCTATTCTGTTTTCCCCCAAATCAAATTGACAGCCAAAAAGTGTCTTGTCTTGTCATCTTTTGCTAACATTCTCTTCCAAGAGTCCCCATAACCAAAAGACAAACAAGACCCATGTTCCCATCACTGCAGCCACGTCTCAGAAATGCTGAGAGGGTCACAGCATTATTAGATGGCAGAAACCCTGCTCAAGTTCAGGTTTGCGGGAAACCAAAATCAAAGTGATATTTGACTTTCCCAAGGTTGCAAAAGGATTTAATAACAGGGCAGAAACTGATTCTACTGGGGTACATTTTTGTGACACCTGCGTGCTTAAGTTTAGGCTCTCGTGTGCTTTGTAAGATCATTAGCACCAACACAAATTTCTCTGATTTTCTTTCTTAGATATGCAAAGCAGAACGCCACACCCTCCCATTGTATTTTCTATCTGATCCATCTCCTTGTGCCTTGAAAAATCAGTCAGTTATAGATATCTTGTCTTCAAAACTTATAATGCCTGGTACCATCAAGGCCTCATCATGATGCCGGTAGTGGTGGGGACATTTGTATGGAATGCATCATAAATTTAATATCTTTACAAATCTCAGTAAGCATGATTTTCAAACACCCTTTTTACCATGGAAAAAGGTAATGGAACAGTTCATGGCCTTATCCAATATATAAGACACCTGAATTCTCCACCCAAGTTTCACTGCTACAGCCATTACTATTAAAAACATAAAATGTCAAGCATTCTGTCAAGGGGAATGCCATATATTTATCTACCTAAGAAACTCAGTCATTTCATGCCTGTTTCCTCCTCAATAGAAAGGTATTAATAACAAAGGCATAGCAGTGGGAACAGCACCCAAGAAATACTACCTGATGGCAAAGTATATTAATACCTCATTTCATCACATCGAAAATGCCATATATTATAAGGCACACCACTATTCTAGGTACCAGGAAGAATATTAACTGCCAATCAAACTAGTGCATGGTGTCCAGATTTCAGAGATGTTGAGATATAAAAATATGCACATCTTAGAATCAATACATACCAATAAGATCACAGAAACATTTAACCTTTGTTCATGCTCTTTTCTCTGCCTGGAATCCTCATACTCTAACTTCCCACCTAGTGAGCTCTGTGCATCCCTGAGGTCACCTCCTCTGTGATCTTCCCCTCCCACCGCCCACTGGGCAGATCTGACCAGTGCTTCTTTTCATTCCTGGTGACCTCTTTCCACACACCTACCTCAGCACTTATCACACTTTAGGGAAGGGACCTGTTCATAAGCCTACCATCCTTTCACTTTAATGCTTTAATTGTTGTTTTCTTTAAAAAAAAAAAAAAACAGAACCCTTGAGGCATCTGCTTCACCTAAACTAGGACCACAGTAAAGTCTATCCAGTAATGTTGAAATGAATGAATGAAAATAAAAGGTAGTTACAAGTGAATATTAAAGACTGGCAAATTATTTCCACTGAAATCCTCCTGGTTGTCTTTTTAGAAACATACATAGTGCCATTGAAAAAAGAAAAGAAAAGAAAAACTGAAGTCTATCCTCCTCTGTTACCTCTCCACAGCATTGCTAAGCCAGATAGTCTCACAGTTTTGCTAAGCTCCACAGGTCTGCTAGGCCAGTGGCAGTAGTAATTATAAATCCATCAGAATTTATACTGGTCAAGGCTGCCTGTACAACCCTCCACTCTGGATTTGTACATTCACATTATTTTCTTGCACTGTAATAAAGAAACATTAATCCTTCTCTGCCAGCATCTTCATCAGTTGTCACTATCCCATCTCCTAGGTCCAAGATCACTGGTCAGCTTTTTCACCTAACCACTGAGGAATGACAGTTTCCGACGGGTATCATAGATGGTATCCCTGAAGCCTGTAAATGAATGGTGACTTTCTTGGGAACATGTAAATGTTAGTGGTGCAGCTCTGAGAATGTTCTGGAAAATGGCACAGTTGTCTCACACATGGAGGCAAACAAGTTTGGCCAAGAAGCGCTGTGCTCAATGCAACTATCTTATTCTGATTTTCTTCATCACATTAGAACATGTGACCACCTAGACCTTGAGACTACTCAGAATCGTGTAGCGCCTTGGTGTGTGGGCCCTGGACACAGCCTCTCCGGGATTGGGGGGTCCTGTGTCTACGACTTCTCAGCTGAAAGACAGGAAGTAAATTAGCAACATCTCATAAGATCGCTGTGCACACAGCTTTAACCGTACACACAGAGGACCCAGCACGCTGTCTGGTACGTAGTAGGTGCCAACAGGTGTTAGCTACTATTGTTGTTATTGTTATGTTTCTGTCATAGTTTTTTTTTGCTCCCATCTCTTTCTTGAAGTCAAAAGGAAGCAGTCCTTTATAATTCCTTGTACAAACCAAGACAGTAAATAATGCTCTTCAATTTTCTACCCATTTTTCAATGTTCTTGCTGCTTTGAGCCTACAGCCAATTTTTAAAAAACCAGGTGTCATCACAGATATTAGAAAAGTTTTCAGTTGGCCGAGTCTGAATGTTCTTTGGCTTGTCATTCCTGAAAACAAACCATACAACTTTTCTGACTACCAGATGTGCCAACTACTTGTGCACTGGTTTTCATTTTGAAATACCGCTTATTTTTAGAGACTACACGATATGTTTTAAAAATGTGTTTACTGCTCAAATAAGATCTGAGTGGATGGCATTCTGAGTACCACATACGTTCTGGCCAAAATCACTTCACGCTGGCAGGGAGTGCAAACGTTTTGCATTTTCAAATTTCTGAACTGAGAGGTCATCTTAGCAGGGGTATGTTTTTAATTAACATCTTCATTAGTTAAAAGGATTCTCTTGAAGCAATCTGTTGATTATGTCACGATTATCACTGCTGAGGCTGCATCCTTCAGAACTATTTGTGTTTATCCAAAGGTTCTGCTAAAAATGGCATAGATACAGAGGGAAACAGAAGTGAAATCTATGTGGGGACAGGGCAGGGAAGTAACCAGAGCTTTCTGGTTGTTACTGTTCATTCAACTGAGATAGCAAATGGCAATCGCCAGCCAGGCAGTCCATGGAGCCAACAGTGAGCGAGATGGACACAGTCCCCCACAGGGCCCACAGTTGGGCCATGAAGGTGTACACTAAACCAGCCATTTGTTACAAAGGAAGTAATCCCTGAAACTAGCTTGGGTCATATGAAGAGACTTCTCCTTCTCAATAGGTCAAAAATGATCATAGGAGATCAATTTCTAAATGGTTCAGTGTAATACAAATGCAAGGTTTGTGGAAACAGAAATATACATATCAGGGTTTGAGTCCTGCTTCTCACCTCCACTGACTGTGTGATACCAGGAAGGTCCCTAAGGTCTCTGCATCTCAGCATCCTGCTCTAAAATGGGGATAATAATAGTACCTAACTCATAAGGTTGTTCTTAGGATCAGCGGGGTTAGTATATATTAATCTATGTCTCACTTTATCTCAGCATCAGGATTTTCTTCCTAACCTTTCACTTAATAACATTTTAAATCTGCAAGAAATTTGCAAGAATAGTACCATAAGCTCCAACTTTTACCTCATGGCCCATCCATCTCTCTATATATGTATATATTTGTATTGTTATTCATATTATTTTTTGAACCATTTAAGAATAAGTTGCGGGGTTGCATGCAGTAGCTCATGCCTGTAAGCCTAGTACTTTGGGAGGCAGAGGTGAGAGAATTACTTGAGGCAAGGAATTCAGAACCTTGCCTCTGGGCAAGTTTGGGCAACATAGCAAGACTCAATCTCTACAAAAAAATAGAGAAAATGAGCCAGGTGTGGTGCTGCACACCTGTAGTCCCAGATACTCCTCAGGAGACTAAGGCAAGAGGATCACTTGAGCTCAGGAGTTTGAGATTTCAATGATCATGCTATTGCATTTGAGTCTAGGCAACAGAGTCAGACCCCATTTCAATGAAGAAAAAA